GCCGCCCCTTACCAGGTGCCGCCCCAAGCATGTGCTTGGGTGCCTGGTGCCTAGAGCCGGCCCTGCCCAGAGTGCCCCCATGTGGGCAGGTGTGGTGTTGCAGGCGAGCCCTTACTTTGTTTTCCCCTCACCCAGGGTAGTGGCAAGTCCAAACAGCCTGTTAAATGCTAAAGAGCACCCCCTAGTGGCGGGTGTCATTTATTAACAGAAAAGCCCAGGCAGAACATCAACAAATTTTCACCCCAACATCCCAGCAGGTGAGTAGGTCATCTTAGTCCATGTCCCTCACCTAAATCCCATGTTCTCCTCTGCCCAGGATTTTTCCCCAGGGTTCCAGTCTGCCCTGGGGTTCTGCCTGTTGCCCCTGCTGGAGTAACATCCTTCTCTGGAGCCAGTGGGTCAGGGAAGTCCGTCTTCTGTGACTCTTCCCCAGGGAAAGCAGATGATCCATGTGAGGCCGGGCTTTCAACCTGTGTCTGGGTGACCACCAGCTGAGACCAGGTCCTTTAGGGTGCCTGCAGACTGCCGTCCTCTACCTAGAAGGTGCCCGTCTTCATGAGCACCTCTTAGAGGCTCACTTTCCAGAGAGCCGTGCTCAGCCCTCTGCCTCAGGTTTCTCCTGCAAGCTGCCCTCTACTCCAGAGGAGCCTCCCATCTCCCATTGGAGCTGCCCTCTAACTGCGCATGGGGAACCTTTATTAATCAGCCACCCGGGGCAGCCAATCATCCCCTGGTGGGGCTTTTATCAGGCAGTCAGGGGAAGACTGGGCCTTGGTTCCCCATAAAGAGCAGCTAACCCCATGACACCCCTTGAGCCAATTCCCCTTGCATCTTACAATGTAGCGGGCCTGATCCTTCCTCGAACGAGTCAGAGTTTTCAGGATCGGGCCCTGGCTAGGAAAGGAACAAAGAAGGGATAAATGGAAATTGATGTCAGACAGTTTGTGCACTGCTGTCATTTCAGACATTGGGGTTTCTGGAAGTTGGCCACTGAGGCACCCGCAGAATACAGGACATCCCCTTGGTTGCATGGGCCCACCCCCACCAGCGTGACCCTGTCCCTGCTGCTGTGACCTCATATGCTCAGGGAATGCAAGGTCATGCTGCATAGAGGATGCCATTTTGCAGGGTGCGCCACCCCTCCTCCATTGGCGTGACTTCACACACACAGTGCATGCAAGGTCGTGTCACATGGAAGATGACATTTTACAGAGTGATACTGGTGTGACCTCACAAACGCGGTGTCTCTGAGGTCATACTGGTGGGGACAGAACATCACACTCTGTGAAGAGCCTCTTCTGTGCATCATAGAATCATAGAATATCATGGGTTGGAAGGCACCTCAGGAGTTCATCTAGTCGAACCCCCTGCTCAAAGCAGGACCAATCCCCAACTAAATCATCCCAGCCAGGGCTTTGTCA